CCACCTTTCTGTTTGCAGCCCAGCGCTTAACCATTGTTAAGATGGTTAAGCTCTGTGAAGATGACAGCCAAGGAAACCTTGTGGGGTAGTTCTGCTCTATAGCCCAGGGGCTTGGCGGGGTTGGAGTCCACTTAGAGGCAGTGGCTTGGGATTTTGTCCGTTTTCTTTCTTTTCATCAGGGGCCAGGGCGTCCCTGGGTCGTGCAAATGACTGATGCCCTTGGATGCTAACCCAGCGGTTCACCATTCAAACCCACCCAGAGGTGTCTCTAAAGAAAGGCCTGGTGATATATTGCCCCAAGAACCAGCTACTGAAAGCCCTATAGGGCACAGAATGGCGTTAGAATGGATTCAGCAGGAACTGGAGCATTTAGGGTTTGTTTTGGCTTAAAGCATGGGCCAGGTCCTGGGGCCCAGCAGGTGAATGAGGGGCCTCAGGGGGCTGTCAGGCTGTGACTCACCTGCCTCTGCTGAAGCTGGGATAAGAGTGAGCAGTGAGGGGCCTGCTGCTTCCCTGCGTGTGATCTCAGACCACTTGTAGGAGGAGAATTCCCGGTGTCTGGGAAGGAGGCAGGCGTGAGCTCACGGGTTTCTGAACTAATTTTGTTCTGGATTTTCTGCTCACACATCCCTTGGGGAGGGGAGCAGCCATCAAACGCCCTCCCTGCATCAGTCCCAGACTTTGGCTCAGGCTCAGAGTTCAGACAGGTGTTTTCTCAATAACAATGGCATGTTAGACCGGGTTGACTAGAGAAACAAATCCAGAAACTCATATGTGTGAAAGAAAGAGCTTTATATCAAAGAACAATTGTATACTGAGAAAATATCCAGGCCCAGTCCAGATCCAGTCCATAATTCCGATATTAGCCCATATGTCTGATACCGGTCCATAAATTCCCCTTCAGGCTCACATAGCCATGCAATGTTGCTGAATGCAGGAAGATCACAGGCCGGTGGGTGGAAAGCCTTGTGGATCCAGTGGTGGTGGAAGCATCTCCAGGGCTCTGGCTGCCGTCAGCGTGGCTCCTTGTGGCTTGTCAACAGGATTGTGGAGCACAGAGAGAGTGGCCCAGCTCTTCTGGTGGCAGAATCTCATGAGAAGGCCACACCCACAAGGAGGGGTCATCAGGCTGTGACAGGCTGACAGGCTAGACTCCACCCCTTCACTCTTATCAAGTTGACATGAAATTGTGTAACTACCACAAATGGCTAACAGTTCATGAGCACGTTCTCCCTAGGATGTGAGGTTCCAAGTGTTTGATATGTATCTACTCCCTTATCCTCATCACCCCATGAGGTCTGGACTAAGCACTGTACAAATTCTTGATCTTCGTGACAAGCCTCTGAGGCAAGAACTGGTATTGGCCCCACCTTACAGATGAGGACACCAAGCCCCAGGAAGGTTAAGAAGCTCCGTCATTAGAGGAGCTGGTGGTTGAAGGCAGGTCTGTCTGACTCCAGAGTCTGTGTTCCTCCTACGGGATTTCAAGGCTGAACTTCTTTTCAGGAGCATAGTGCCACATCTTTCTCCCTCGGAGGCTGATGGGCCTGAACTGGCAATTCATCATTAGCTGCCAGTCATTTCACCACCACACCACCTGAATGCCGTAGCTGGACGGGACGCCCCAAGCCAGATTCACTGGCGTTGAATCTGACTTATCGCCACCCTATGGTTCTACAGGGTGGCTTTCTGAGAATGTAACGCTTGACAGAAGTGCCAAGCCTCCTCTTTCATCCTGGGTGGTTTCAAACTGCCCACCTTGTGTCGAGCAGCCCCAAGGTGTAACCACTGCCACCTCCAGGCCAGACCAGAAGCAAGTCCTTAGGCACCTACCAGGTGGAATCCCCAGGGCCTCTGGCAATCCCTCCCCTTCCCCCTCTTTGTCATTCAACACATAAGGAACAATGGCTGGTCACACTTCCTTGGTGGTGGTGTTAGCCGCTCCCCTTGACCTACAATGGGGACCCCATGACAGTGAGGTCAGACTATTGTGCACCACAGGGCTTTCATGTTACCAGCTGATTTCTCCCACGTAGATCACCAGGCCTTGTTTCCTAATTGGCCCTAGTCCAGAAGCTGAAACACATTCCGAGTCATGGCGACACACGGACAGAAAGTGGTGGCTGCACGCGAGTGCACCAGACAGGCATGGAGCCCAGGTCTCCCGTGGGGAAGGCAGGAACTCTACCTTTGGCCCATCACTGCCCCCCAGATTTCCTGTGAACCCCCAAACAACACCCACTGCCACCAGGTTCATTCCAAGCCTGCGGAACCTATGATTCTGGTGCAGAGTGGCCCAATTGTTCCATGCATGTTTATATTCTTTTTTTTCTTTTTTTTTTGCTTTGGGAGCAGGTATTTATTAGAAAAATTAGATTTTACACCATATAGAAGGAGTTGGACTAGTAAATGTTCAAATGTTCAAAGGTGACATTGCAGGCCTAAAGGAAATATTTTTCTAGTAACTATTTCTCTGGGAAGGCTGGTATAGGTGGACTATTGGACTTAACAGGGGAATCTGAGGATCCAGGCTGACCCAGCAGTAAAATTGGATGAGAGCGGTGGCTTCTGTGTGGATCTACACTCAAGTACCAGGTGGAGGTGCTTGGTCAGAAAGCTGGTTGTTGAGAAGGGTTATATGCTGAACAGGGGGGATGAGGAAAAGATGGGCATCTTTTTGTCTATTTGTCCACCTTTCAATTATCACAAAGGTTCCCATTTTGTCCGATCCTAGCACAGAATCATTGAGGAAAGAGGATTTTTGGCAATGTGGTACCCAGGTGAACCAATTTGAATTCACACCGTGGAAACCTGTTATCTAAACATCCTTCATCTAACCCTGCTTAATGTGTGAATAAAGGCCATAGGAAAACATACTCCCAACTCATATGACGCAACCATCCCCAACCAAAAACATGCAGCCACAAAGTCCCAAATGTATTTATTCAAATTTGGATGGTTTTCATCGTTCTCTTATCCGAGCCAGGCTTTTTTTGATATCAGTACCAGAAATAGTGAGATTCAAAGTTCACATTACTAATAGACTTTATATTGGAGGGACTAGGGGTAGGAGAAGGAAGAGGAAAGAAGGGGAAATTATATCCACATGTACACACATATACATAGACACATTCATATGCATGTAGAGCTATACATGTGTACTATACATGTGTAATATATTAAAGTAAGGAAGAAATACTTATCAGCATGTTTATATTCTTAAGAGAGTGAGAGGAAATAATGTACTTACTCTGTGCCGGCCCCCAGGGTGCTTTCATTGATAGTCAAAGGCAGCACGTGGTGAGTGATGTCAACACAGTCCCTGTGTGTCAGGAGCTGTCTGAAGTGTTGCACAGGGACTCGCTCCATCCACACAGCAATCCTAACCGTTAGAAGCGGCGCTCGGCGCTCGTTCTACGGCACAGAGCAGGGAGGAGCTGAGAAGCAGAGAGAGATTAATTAACTTGACCACAGAGCCCCAAGTCTTTCAGACTTTGTCCGTTATAAGAAATGCATTTTACATCCTTAGCAACACACACACACACACACACACACACACACACACACACACACGGAGATAAAACACATACAACACTTTACTGTGTGGTGAACGCTGATGTTCTTTTTTGGCACTGTTTTGCTCAGCTTTTTTCCCCCCCTTAAATCCTGGTGACCCACTAAATAGATTTCCCAATCCAAGTGAGTCACCGCCCACCGTCTGAACAGCCCTGAGTCATAGCTAGAAGTGTCAAGGCCAGAGCTCAACCCAAGCAAAAAGCTCCAAAGCTGAATCTCTTGGCCTCAGGAATGACTGGGGAAAGGAAGGTACTAGAGGCCCCAGGACAGGATGGGGCCCCGAGAAGCCCACCACCCAGCATCCCCCTCTCCCCTGACAGCCCAAGTTCCGGGCAGTGCCCGACCTCGATTCCCTTATTTAACCCTCACACCCATCACACCTGTGAAGAAAGCAGAACTCACCAAGAGGCAGACAGGCTGGCAGAGGGATTTGAACGAGGTTCCAGAGCTGGGACTGGAGCCCATTGTCCAGTTCTTCTGGTGGTGCTGATGGGAGAGGAGCCCGGTGGTGGTGGTGGGGGTGATACTGAAGGCTGTAGAGGGATGGGGTGGTGGGGATGACAGTGGAGAGGGTGAGGGGATGGTGTCAGGGCTGGTGCTGCTGTGGGGGGTTGGAGCAGGGGTGGAGGGGCTGTGGGGGAGGTCAGGGTGATGACCATGGTAAGAACAGAGGCAAGCACCCGTAGCCGTTGGGACTGGTGATGTTGGTCAGGGGAGCTGATAGTGGCGATGGTAGGAACAGTAAGAGAGGGGTTGGAGTCCTAGTGGGGCTATCAGGCACGGTGGTACTGCCTGCCTTTTGATGAATCACAACTCCTCCCCGCCCGCTCCTCCTTCCCTAGCACTTCCCGGAGCACCTGGACCACTTTGCCGAGAACATGGGGGACTTCTCCAATGACCTGTTCAGCAGCTTCTTTGATGACCCCGTGCTGGATGAGAAGAACCCTCTCCTGGACATGGAGCTGGACGCGCCCACGCCGGGCATCCAGGCGGAGCACAGTTACTCCCTGAGCGGTGACTCGGCGCCTCACAGTCCCCTGGTGCCCATCAAGATGGAGGACGCCACCCAAGGTACGAGGTGGGCAGGGTCCGGGGACATCGCATTCCCAGAAGCCCAGGAGGCCGCAGGGGACCGAGGGAAGGACCTACAGGCTGAGACTCCCCAAGACTCTGAGAAGAGTCACCTTCTTTCCAGGGGGTGCTGTGCCCTGACCTGTCTGTGCTCCCCCTGATCAGCCCCGGACAAGCACTTCTCGATGCTGACTTAGGTCAGGGGCTTACCAAGTGTGGTTCCTCGGGCCAGCAGAGAACTTGTGGAAAACGTAAATTCTCAAGCCCCACCTCAGGATCCCCGAGGGGAGGCCAGCCTGCCAGGAGGTTCCAACCCCTCTCAGGTCTGAGAACCAAGGGGCTGAGAGGAACCAGCCAGGTAACAGAATAACAAACGTGGACAAGCTGCAATCACTCTAGAACCTTCCCTCCTCCTCATACAGGGATGCCCTCTGCAGAGCTACTGGGGGAGACCCCTGCCCCTGAAGGTCTGTCCCCTCCCCTGCCGCCTGTAAAGCAAAAGGCACACTCAGTCCCTCCTCTCATGTCCTTAAGAACTCCAGACTGTCCCACCCAGAAATGGCCTTTGGGGCATTTTCTCAAATACAGGAGTCCTGGCTCTCCCCGTGTGCACAGTGGGGAGCGTCGACCGTCTTTTTACCTCTGGAAATGGGAGTGACAAAAAGCATTTCTGCAGCACGACCTAGGGTGGTGGCACGGTGGTTCAGGCACTGGGTTGCTAACTGCAAGGTTGGCGGTTCAAACCCACCAGCCACTCGTCAGGAGAAAGAAGAGGCTGTCTGCTCCCATAAAGATTTCCAGTCTCAGAAACCCTATCCTGGGCTGTCATCGTCGTGAGTCAGCAGTGGGTGTGCTTTGGGGGGTTAGGTTTCAAAGTGCCTTTGAGGTCATGGTCTCATTTCTCCCAGTGTGAGGTGAGCATCACTGTGGGCATAATCCCCTTTTAACCAACGAGAAAAGTGGAATGACCACCCCCCTTGCTGAAAGTTGACTTGTCCAGGCTGCAGCAAACGGCACAGCAGGACGCTGGGGCCCAGCCCTCTGATTCTCAGTCTCCCACAGTTCTCACTGCCACTTGTGCCGGCCACAAAGGACAGCCCCACGCTCGGGGCTGGAACCAGGGAGGTCACGGTGTACCCCTAGTTGCTGCTGCTGTGTGATCTCAGGCAAGTTACCTAACCTCTCTGAGCCTCTGTTTCCCTGCACTACAAAAGGAAGATCATGTGTACGCAGAGAGCAGACAGCCTTCTCTTTCTCCTACTGAAAGCGGCTGGTGGGTTTGAACTGCCAACATTTCGCTTAGGTCAGCGGTCCAAAGCTTACCCGACTATCCTGGAAAACCAGAAAACCAGTGCCATTGAGTGGATCTGACTCCTGGAGACCCTACAGGACAGGGTAAAGCTGCCCTTGCGGGTTTCCGAGACTGAAACTCTTTACTGGAGTAGAGGGCCTTCTTGTCTTTCTCCTAAGGAGTGGCTGGTGGTTTCAAACTGCTGGCCTTGCAGTTAGCAGGCCAGTGCATAGCCACTGCCCCACCAGGGCTGAAATAGACTCCAGGACACGCAGCAACAAGAAAATTTTCACTAAAAACCTATTGACCAATAGCTCAACAACAACTACTGACAATATGAGCCAGTAAAACAACGGACAGGGTTTGAATTCCTCATCCCTCCCCCCCACCCACCCCTAGGACAGAGCTCTTGAACGAGTTTCTTGGATTTCTCATCCATAAAATGGGGAGAAGGGAGTACCTGCGCCACAGGGGGTCTGGGAGGACAGAAGGAGTGTGTGTGGATCTGCTTCTCCAGGTCTCTGAGATTCTCCAGGGGCACAGCAGGCCCCTGCACACCCCTACCCTCACCACCACCACCA